TCATAAATCTCCTCCTCTCCATCAATCTCTTCCCTTTGATATTCCCAGAGCTTAACTACTGGTTTATCTCTATACAGACACTTGTGGGAGGATCGCTTCACAGCCTGCACTGACTGCACTTTCTTCTGGAGAGGAGCAGCCACGCGCGGGATCATAATTTTTCCTTTCTTCCATTTTAAAGTTTCCAAGCAGCTCTGCATAGCTCGCACAGCCTTGCACACCACGCTGTTGAAATTTCTCACACCTTTTAACGCCATACTCAGCCGGGTGACCTCTTCCCAACACTGGGCATTCTCTTCGGCCCCTAACCGCAGGCACGTGGCCAGCAGCCACGAAAGGCACTCCGTCTCAGGCTTACCCCGGGCAGCAGTAGCAAACTTAGCCCAATGATCAGGTACAGTTCCCGGGTCACTCCAGGCAGGTCTCAACCTATCCTTATCCCACCCAGGATTCTCTATGCCTGTCAATTCCTTAATCAAAGCCACTAACGGGACCAAGGCAACTCCCTTCATTCTGACCTTTCTCTCCGGACCAGAGCCTCTCAATCCTGTTCATGACACCAGTTTATGTCCCAGCCACCTGCGGAGGGTTTGGGATTGAGAGTATGGTCAGGGGTAGAAAGGTAAGAAAGATTTATTGACTAAACAAAAATACAACTACGCTTAGTAACAAGACAAACAATGACAGACAAAAGCAATTCACGTCGGCAACTTATGGGCAGTCCCCTCTGATGCCTGATACACAGCAAGCTCCTCATTCCACATAGTTCAGTGAAGTCAGGTGTCCCTGAACAGCGCTGTCTGAAGTGTACTGGGAAGGACCCTGGAAGGCAGTCCTTGGGCTCCTCGAGGTCATAGAATCATAGATTCATAGACGTAGGGTGGGAAGGGACCTTGTAGATCTTCAAGTCCAACCCCCTGCCTGGGCAGGAAGAAAAATGGGCTCAAATGACCCCAGCCAGGTAGACATCAAGCCTCTTCTTAAAGACCCCAGGGTAGGAGCCAGCACCACTTCCCTTGGAAGTTGGTTCCAGATCCTACCCGCCCTAACTGTGAGGTAGTTCTTACGGATGTCTAATCTAAACCTACTCTCCAACAACTTGTGGCCATTATTCCTTGTTATCCCGGGGGGCGCTAGGGGAAACAAGATCTCCCCCAAACCCTTCTGGTCCTCCCTACCTGGTACCTGGCCCGGGCACCACGAGCGCTCGTAAAGCCGTGCCAAGGTCCCTGCAATAACCCCTGCTAGCTCCCTCAACACCCTGGGGTGGAGAGCATAAGGACCTGCTGATTTGAACACGTCCAGCCCCTCCAGAAGCTCTCTAACCCGGTCCTCCTCAACCTTAGGTCTTGAGGCATTCCCCTTGAGTCCATCTTGAATCACAGTGGTGATTCCTGGTCCCTGCACAAGAAAATGGAGGTGAAGAATTTGTTAAAGAGGTCTGCCTTCTCCTCTGGCACGACCACCAGATTGCCCAGCGTACCTTGCAGGGGCCACACGTTTCCCGGTGCCTTCTTCATCCTCCCTATATATTTGAAAAAGGACTTTTTATTATCTTTGATCTTGGACGGTAGTCCTAGCTCTATGTCCGCCTTAGCTTTCCAAACAGCCCCGCTACAGGCCCGAGCAGTGGAGGTATACTCCTCTTTGGAGATAGCCCCCCCCTTCCACTGGTGTACGCCGCCTTTTGGCAACCAGGCATTCCCGGATGTCCTTGGTGAGCCAGGGAGGCTTTTGGGCACTCTTGCCCCCCTTGCTTCTTGTTGGGATTGTCAACCCTTGGGCCCTGAGTATCGTCTCCTTAAGGAACAGCCACTCATCTTGGGCACTGAGTTTCCATGCCCACAAGAACCCCAGCGCCTCTCCCACCAATCTCCTCAACTTGTTGAAGTTGGCCATCTCCATGGGCCTACTGATCCAGGCAATCCTTTTCACAGAGCTGTATCTTCCTTCTGAATGGTTTCCAGATATTCCAGACAATTTAAAGCTTCTGAATGGTTCTGATAATGTACAACCACGCAGATTGCTTTTACTTCAATTGTCCTTAGACTGACCAATAGCAGTACAAGCCTTGCATTCCTTTGTAAGGTAATTTTAACTACGCCACAGGGCCTTACTACTTCAAGGCTTTGCTAAATTTACTAGGCCTTACTTTATACAAGGCCTCACTACATCTTAGACTTTAACTAGGCTTTTAGCAACAACTTATAGCTTAATATCTAAACAAATACAGAAAAACACTTGATATAATCTTCATAGAGCCTTCAGCAAGCACCTTTATCACACAGGCACACTTTTCAGCTGTCACACCATGGGGGTTCCCCCTTTTGGGCCATGTAATGATAGTGGGGCATTGGTGTTTTCCCCACTGCCCCCCTGCTCCTGGGTGCAGGGGAACCTGGGGTTGAGCTGCCCGTGTTGTGGTGGGTGGGTTGCTGCAGGGGGTGTCAGGTGGCTGGCCCCTTTTGGGGGGTGATTGGTGGGGATGGGGTAGGAAAGAGGCTTGCCTGGTGGGCTTGCCCACCATGCATTGTGGGGTGCAGTGTGCCAGGTGGTGCTCACTGTGTGAATACCCCACTTGTTGCTCTGGCTCTGGGAAGTAGATTGGAGACCAGAGAAGCCTTCTTATATCCCTGGGTGCAGAAGTCCTTAGGGGTTCCTGGACAAGAGGGTGGAGGGCTGTTGCTCCCCACATCAGGAGCCCCTACTGTGTCATCCCCCCTCCAGCACAGCTCCAGATGCGCTTGCTGGGATGGCAGAGTGGGGAGCATGCCATCTGCACCCCTGCCTCCATTACCTACACCCTCCCCCCTTCCCATCCTCCACAGAGGGTATTGTGATAAAAAATGATAAAAGATTGACCATGTTAAATTTTATTCTGTTCCTTTATTTTTGTATTTACAACAAATGAGACTGCACCATTCCCTGACTCTCACACTCACTCCCAACAGTCATTAGATGATGTCGTGTCTGGCTCCCCCTGCCACCTACTCCACAAAATTACAGCAAAGTATGAAACTCTCATGGAGCCGTGGCACTTGTATTAAATTTAAACCATGTTAACCTAAAGCACATTAGGTTTTGCAGTGAGCAGTACTGGGGTTGGGATCCCTCTACCATGTGCCAGCTGCCCTGGGGGCTGTGCAGGTCTCAAGGGTGGCTGTGCTGCAGCACGTGTCACCAGGGAGCTACACTCTGCATTGCTGGCCCTGCACACCCCATGGGTGCACGTGTGCGAGACATCACAAGACATGTTACTGACTGACGTCACTGCACTTTCTCTTACTTGGTCAGAGGCAGCGGGGAGCTGGGCAGGAGTCCCCAGGAATACTCTTCCTACACCTTGACCAGGCCACGGAGCCTCAAACTGGGAGCAGAAAGGTCATGCTAATCAGGTCGACTTCAGCCAATGCTTTTGTGTGAGTAGTATATATATATTGAACAATGTTTCAAGGATGCCTACACCTGGCCAGTTCTCTGGACTTGGCTGTTCATGTGTGGGTGATGTACTGAATAAAGCTAGGTCCTGAACCCAAAACCTTGTGCCAGACAAAAAAGAAAAGCAAAGTGAAGAGGGGCAACCGCGGAGAGAGTCCTGTGCCCCCTTCGCTCCTAATGCCCCTAAGCCAGCATGTCCCCTGCAGCTGCCGGCCCCTTTGATCTTCACCAGTCTTCCCCAGCACGGAGATCCTCAGCACCTTCCACTGCCGGCAACGATGCTGGCCACGGCAGATGGACGTGCTCCACTCGGCGGTTCCCTGCCGCTCCTCCTGCACTCAGCGCGCCCCCACCTGTGCTCCTGGGGCTGGTTTTTAACTTCGCCAGGTGACTTCTCTTCATGACGTCACCCGGCTCCAGCTGGAGATAGGCACGGCTGACAAACCACTCGGGCGGTTTTCCCCGATGCACCTCCTCACTTCTCTGGACCCCTGCAACAGGTAGGGTTTTTTCTTCTTTTACTTTCAACTGGGGTCTGCCTCTGGAGGAGGCTTCCCCCTTGGTCAAACCTGCATCCCTGGGACAAATTGGATCTGGACAGGTTACAGGGATGTGCGGATGAGAATAGGATGGGATTCAATACTGACAAGTGCAAGATACTGCACCTAAGGATAGAGAACCAGCAGCATACCTATAGGCTGGGGAACTCCCTTCTCATCAGCACAGAGGCAGAAAAGGATCTTGGAGCCAGTATAGACTCCAAAATGAACATGGGCCACCAATGTGGGGACACGGTCAGGGAGGCCAACCACACCTTGTCATGCATCCACAGATGCATCTCGAGCAGGTCCAAGGAGGTGATCTTCCCCACCCTATGCGACATTGGTCAGGCCGCAGTTGGAGTACTGCATCCAGTTCTGGGCACCGCACTTCAGGAGGAATGTGGCCAGCATCAAGAGGGTCCAGAGGAGGCCACCCGCATGGTCAGGGGGCAGCAGGGCAGGCCCTACGAGGAGAGGCTACGGGACCTGAACCTGTTCAGCCTCCACAAGAGAAGGCTGAGGGGGGATCTGGTGGCCATCTATAAACTTGCTAGCAGGGACCCTGTTCCCCTAAGCACTACCAGGAGTAATGAGGAATAACAGCCACAAGTTGATTGAGAGTAAGTTCATGCTAGACATCAGGAAGCACTACTTCAGTCAGGGTGGCTAGGATCTGGAACCAACTTCCAAGGGAAGTGGTGCTCGCTCCTACCCTGGGGGGGTCTTCAAAAGGAGGCTCGATAATCACCTAGCTGGGGTCATATGATCCCAGCATTCATTCCTGCCCATGGCAGGGGGTTGGACTTGATGATCTGATCAGGTCCCTTCCAACCCTACCAATTATGAAACTAGGAAACTATTATCTCCTTCCTGCTATGAAAATGGAAACACACATGCACACACACATACATGTGCACACACAACACGCATACACACCCACATGCATGTACACATGCAATCAGGCACACACTCTACTCACTCACTCTGCACATGGACACAGACACAAACACACTCTCCCTGCCATGAACATATGCGCACATGTATGCAAAGACACCCACACACAGACACACACACAGAATCAGATGCACACAGATGCCCTAGTGTGCATGCACAGATACAAAGGTGTATGCACACAGACAGAAGCACACATGTATAGAGATGAGCACACAAGCAGAAATGCAGACCCATGCACTCAGGTACAGATAGACATGTGCATGCACACACACGCACACACATACACACCCCCCAGCCACATCCCTTCCCCTCCCAGGACTTCCCCTCTCCCCCACTTTTTATTACGCTGAGGCATGGTTCTGCAGTGCCCTATCAGGGCTGAACAGTGGGTGGACTCTTGCTGCACTGCACCAGCATGAAGCTACTTCTCTGGATGCAAACACTGGTAGGTGCTGAGCAGGTATACGCCCCCAAGCCCTTCCTGCATTGCTGGAAGCATTACAGATGCACCCGTATGAGACTGAACTGGTGCTAGGCCAACTTGGAGAAGCGGAGGAAACATTTCTGACACTCTAACAGCTTATGTGCTTTCTTCTCTATGTGGATAAGCTGGTGCCGGGCCAGGCTGGAGGATTGGGTGAAGCTCTTCCCACAATCCAAGCATTGATGTGGCTTCTTACCTCTGTGAATAAGCTGGTGCTGAGTCAGTTTGGAGGATTGGTTGAAGGTCTTCCCACACTCTGAGCACTGATGCAGCTTCACTCCCGTATGGATAAACTGGGGTCTGGTGAAGTTGCAGACCTCTCTAAAGCTCTTCTCACACTCTGAGCACTGATGTGGCTTGTCCCTTGCGTGCACGCACCAGTGCTTGGCCAGGTTGGAGGGCTGCCTTAAGCTCTTCCCAAAGTTGGTGCCATGCTGTGGCTGCGTCCCTGTCTGCACACACTGCTGCTGGGACTGGTCTGGCCAGCACGTGAACTTCTTCCTGAACCCAGTGCAGTGATGTGTCTCCCTCCTCAGGCGGATGCACCAATGCTGAGACAGGGAGAAGAAATGGGTGAAGGTCTTAACACACTTGGCACAGCAGTACTTACGCTTTCCCCTGTGGACATGTAGGTGCTTCACAGGGGCTGAGGGCACACAAAGCTCCTCACCCATTTAGTGAAGCAGTGGGGTGCTCTCCAGATTGGATCTGGCGGTAAGCAACCGGGGTCAAAAGGCAGGTTAAGGTCTTCCCACACTTGATGCATATATGAGCCTTCTCCCCAGTGTGCCTTATCTTATGAAGAGCAATGAGTGATGGGCAATTAAAGGTTTTCCTGACCTTGTGGCAGGGCTGGGCTATGCCCCTGTGCTTGCCAGTGAGCTCCTGATTCCCCCTGAGGCCCTCCCCAGTCTCTTGCCTGGGATACAGTGCCTCTTTCCGGTGGCTCTTTATGTCCCTCAGCTCCACAAATTCTTCCCTGCACCCTGTTTCTGGGCTCTGTCCCCTTCTACACTCTCATGCCCAACTGGAGATGCTACCTGGTTCACTACGATGTTTTCCTTCTGGGGCCTCACCTGACTCTTGTGCCATTGCTCCTTCTCAGGTCTCAGGGAGTCCATCTCATCCAAACGCCCTGGGGACATCCGTGGCGGTTCCAGGTCTGCAGGCCCTTCCGCAAGAGGCTGCTCCTCATCTTTGCTCAGGAAACAGGCACCTCCTGTGTGGGGAACAGAAACCCCAGATTATTCCCTGCCCTCCTGCCAATGGGCTAAAACTGCTATTCCTTTTGCTGGGACGGGCCTCCAAGCAGGCCTGGACCATGGCACTTGTGTTCCCTCAATAAATCAAGGTCTTCCTTCCCAAACCCATGTGCTGGGGAGGAGGGAGAGGCAGATCCTTGTGCTGAGCTAATGTTCCCTACTCTGTGGAGTTCAGAGTTAGACTGTCAGGGTTTCTGCCCCATCACCTCAGACCCTGCTGGGACAAGCACATGTGGGACACATGTATGAAGCCTGAATGCTTTCATGTTCTAATGGGCTGAGGAGGAGCGCAGGACGTACAGCTGTGGCTCCCTGTTCTGGGAGAAGCAGGGCTCTGCTTTCTGCCTGCTTCCAGGACAAGGACCCTGTGCTTTTGAATGAACCCATGGTCAGGGGAAGTAGAGGCTCTTTTCTTGGTTAAATGCAATAGCAGGGGTAAAGGAGGTGCAGCATGTGTCAGGTCCCGCCTCTTCGGTGCAAGGATGGAGAAGGTATGATTGCATCCTGTGGGTGAAATGGAGCATGTCATCTCCCATTAGGAATACTGAGGCTTCCCCGCTAGTGCCAGAGCCATTTGGCTCCAGGAGTGTCCTGTGGGGGCTACTCCATGAGGTTAAATACTAGGGCTGTGCAAAGCTTTACTGACTTTTTTTTATACTGTTTTGATTCATTTTGAGCCTAAAACAGTGAAATTGAAATGAACTGAAGGGCTTCAAAACATCCTGGAAATGAAACGAGGCCAGTCGAAACATTTTGAAACACTGTTCCCTCGAAGTCGAAGTGGAAAGCTGGTGTTTCACACAGCCCTATTAAATACTCACCCTGGAGCACACTTATTCATTTCCATGATTGTCCTCTTCACTGATACCCTGCAGAGTATTAAACTGCACCCTCCCTTTCCTTATATTATAGCGTTCAAGAAAACCATGTGATTTCTGAAGGAACCTCTGTTTTTTGGCAAGAGGGCTTGTTTGTCCGGTTGGAGGTGGCCACAGAAAGAAGGGAGGGAAGGGGAGCTTGTTTGACCCACTTTGAATGGCCAGTTACCTGCTGAATTTCTAAGGGGCAGTGGAGGTTGGCGAAGTGCATGTAGGTGAGAGAGTGTGTGTCACAGGAAATGAAATCCTAACTGCCCCTTTCCAAGACATGAGCAAGGGTGCAAGTCAATTAACATCTTCTGATCTTTCTTCACAGGGCCTGACTGCAAAGCCTGCTTCTTGAATGCAGGTACAATTTTTTTTGTGGCATAGTCTTATGGAGAGGAGAAAGGTGTGTACAGAAAAGATGTATAAGCACCTGTTGTCAGGGCCCTGAGCAGGGTTGAACAGGAGCACAGGGAGGCACCTAAGTCCACCGAGGCCCCTGCTGCCGACTTCCCTCCCACACCAGCTCCAGCAAATGACTTAGAGCATGGGAAAGTCCCGCTGGGAGCCTGGGGATTTAGTCAGGTCTCCACCGACACCCGTGGCCACAGCCATCGTAGGCTCCAGTTCCTGTTGGCTGATGGCATTGCCACCAGGAGGGATAAAGCCAGTAGATCTTCCCTTTTGATCTCTCTCCCCTGGGTTCAGACTGCAGAGACCCAAAGGGCTGCTGCGCAAGGTGAAATTGGAGGTGGTGACTTACAGCTCAGCTGCACTCTCTGCATCTGGTGGCCTGTGTCAGGTTTCTTGCTAACTATTGCTAGCCCTGTACCCACCCTCTGAAATAAAAACCTACCATTTTCCTGGCCTGTGGAAGCCAGTGAGCCTTTGAATATCTGAAATGGGGCTTCACCTCTGCTCCTGTGTAGCTTGTCCAGACTCCTCCTTGTCATTCATGGTAGGAACACCAATCTTGAGATCCTGACATGAAGTCACGGGCATCAGAGTGGCTTTTGGGAAGTGCCAGTACTACTTTGAAGAGCCACGGCACAAAATACAGGTTCTTACTGATCACAAAAACCCACATGCCAACCTGCAGCCCAGAAACTGGCACAAGAAGCTAGGTGAAATTCCCATATGTATATAGAAAAACGTAACAGTTGGGGCTGCAAGTCAATGGGCCAAATGGGGGGAACAGGTAAAAGGTAAAGAAGCACCAACATTGTGGTAATATTCACTCAGCAGCTTAATTCTCTGCCACCTCCAGAAGTGTTCCCCAAACAAACCTAAAAGTCCTAAAAGCGGTCAAACACCTGCAAGTCTGGATCCAGCTTCTTCAGTCCACATCCTGGCTGACCGAGGCAGCAAGATCTCCAGCCACACTGTGCTGTTAACACTCTGTGTGGGGCTGGCCAGGCTCCACCTGCATGCTGCTC